CATCCCTCCGCCATAGCTCTAAGCAGACTGTATGATAATGATCTATTTATTCTTTTATCTCTCTGTATTAACTTTCTATTGCTGCATAACAAATTTCCACAAACCTAGCAGTCTGAAACAAAAACCATTTATTACCTCACAATTTCTGGGAGTCAGAGGGCCAGCGTGCTTCATCTGGGTCCTCCACTCAGGATCTCACCAGGCTGAAATCAAGGTGTTGGCTAGCTGTATCCTCATCTGGAGGCTTGACCAGGGAAAGATCCATTTCCAAGTTCCTTGGCAGAGTTCATTTTATTGTAGTTGTATGAATGAGGTTCCTATTTTTTTAATGGCGAGTGGTCAAAGACCACTCTCAGCTCCTAGAGGCCATTCTCAGGCCCTTGTTATATAGCCCTCTCTACTAGGTGGCAATTTGCTCATTCAAGGCCAATGGGAGAACATCTGTTGTAGCTTCAAATCTCTCTGACTTCTTCCTTCTTTGGCCCCTAGATCCTCCTTTAAAATGTGTGTGATTAAGTCAGGCTTACCCACACTCAAGTAGAGGTTAAATACCAAATACATACCAGGACTGAGAATCTTGAGGACTTTCTAGATGTGAACTCTCCAAGGACAAGTCTAGTCTTTTATTTGTGTTTATAATCTCAGAATTGAACAGAATTAGTACCTGACACTTAGAAGTCATTAAATGACAGAATGAAGAAATAAGACAAAAAAAGGAAAGGGAACTTATAGGATAGGGAGATATTTAAAAGGAAAGTTAAATATGAATTGGTAGGTAGTGGACTTTGAACCTGAATCCTGGGTCTGTAATGATACCATTAACAAAAATCGAAAACCAAATAAGAGAAATTAGTTGGGTGGATTGTGGAAGAATGGGTAGACAAAATGAAGAGCTATGAGTTTTATACTGGATATGCTGAATTTATTTTGCTTGTAGGAGAACCATGTGGAAATACCTGCAAACAAATGAGGGTGATAGTCTAAAACTTGGAAGAGAGATATGGGTTGAGGTGAATCATAGTGCTGAGCTCTTGAAGTTGTGCCATAGTCTTTAGGGTATTTTTAACCCCAGCCCTGTTCCCATTGGACACTATGACTTGGCTCATGTATTCTGGCTCTACCTGTTATTTCTTTCCCTTTTCCACTTCCTACCTATTTGGTTTTCCCCTAATCACTCAGCTTTCCTTATCCAATTCTTATTTAAACCTCCAAATGTAACTGTCAAAATGGAAACCCACTGCCAACTCCCTTGGATCTACTGATGTGGATTTAACTGTAATAGACATTAATTGGGATATTTATACTAATCTAATCCTGTGTATAGTAGTAAGAACATGACTTCGAGCCATGGAAAAGCTGAGTTCAAATACTGCTTTTGCTACTTATTTGCTATATAATCAAGATCCAGATGAATGATCTCTCAGGCTTATACCTTCTTTATACATGAACTATAAATATACATATGTTTTCAAGGCGATTAAATAAATTTATGTATGTGAAATGTCTGGTAAATTATAGAAATTCAGTTAAATCCCTATGTTAATATTTTTAGAGAAAAATGTGGGTGTTGTGCTTATGTTCTTTGCTCCAGATTCATTGGGGTTTTCCAAATTACTATTTTAAATACAAAAGCAATTTAACGGTACAATCACATGACTAAAAACCATTCATAATCCCCATTTGGGATTGGTAAGTAGTGTGTAGTAGCAGTGAGCAAAAACACACAATATGAGACTAATATTGCACTTATTAGAAAAATTATGTCAGGTCACTGGGAACCATATTTTCTGCAAAATATTAATGATAAAATAAAGACAGTTATTTTAATTATAAGCAGTGTGCACCTAGTTCTTCTTACATCAAAAGATAGCAGGTTAATTTTGCATATCTGCCCCCCAGATAGATAGAGAAGGAATGCTAGGAATTTCTGTGTCTGCCTACAATCTATGCCAGCTCTCAGCACACTTTCTGCCATGGCCTTGGGGATTAGGACTGCAGCCTGACTGTCTCCTATTCATTTTCTTACGGCAGCCACAGTAGTCTTTCTAAAATGCAACCTGAGCAAATCAATCTCCTACCCACTGCACTTAGCATGAAAGGAAAACTCCCTAGGTTGGCATGTAGGGCCCTTCACCATCAGTTTCCAGTTGACCTTTCCTGTTTTATTTCTTATCATTACCCCTCATAATCTTTGTGCTGAGGTCCTACTCGCCCTCTTTGTTTGTGTTCTTGTTTGGAAACTGGCTCTTCTTCTACTTCCCTTTTACCTAGTTTAGGTTAAGTCTTCACTGTCACCCTCTCCTCATCCGCACTACCTTGCCCCAATTCTGGGTTAGTTGTTTTCTTTCACAAGTGTATGTTCAGCTCTTGGTTTAGTTAAGATTTATTTACACTGTGAAGAAATTGATGACCTTTGAAATATATATGCAGTCTTTTTGAAGGAGCATAATTTAAATTGCTGGTTTAAAATGCTTGGGTCTTACCACTATGCTGTATACCTGAAATTAATATAAAATAATATTGAATATCAACTGTAATTCAAAAAAAATTAAAAAATGAATGCTTGGGTCTTGCTGACTGCAGAGTTTAGGAAGACTTCCGACTGGCCAAGCAAACAGCCATTTATATTGTGATGACGGCACATTCTCTACCATTCTCAATCATAATGTTGTGTTCTTGCTTCTTTGTACAGGTGCTCTGAGAATACAACCCATGAGCTTCTGTGAATCCCAGGGGTTTAACTTGTTTGTCTTTAAATTTTGAGTAAAATCATGGCTGAAAATTGTCAGGTAACATCCCAGACGTCCTCACACGAAGAGGCAGCTAAAAAGGGAAATTTTTTTTTTCAGTTCTGTTTAAAAAAAGATCACTAATGTCAGATACCTGCTTCCCCATAGCAGAAACATAATCAGAAATATATTTGACTAGGTTGTCAAGATGAAAAAAGTACTAGAATTGCACTGGGTGAGGTAAAAATATAAGTTAAGAATTTCTATAATAAAAAAGATAGAAGAAAGTATATCTGAAAAGCTAAATATCTGCATCTCTATTACATAATTACTTTTGTTTATGTTATGATTTAAAAATTTTTAGGTATAGTAAAATCACTATTTAAAATGGCCTGCTAATTAACCATTTACATAATGTGATCTGGAGAAAAGGCAGAAAGGTAATTTAAAAATTCACTGGAATGGCTATCCTGCTTTTTCTTTATTGACAATATAGCGCTGAGTGGGAGTTTTTAAATTAATTTTGATTTAAATGTTTTTAAATAACCCAACACCTTTCTGGAAAATTAATCAATAGAAATGTGCATTGGCACTGTTTATTTACCTGCTTGTTTCTTCTAGGCATCGGAATCTCATGAAACAGGAGCTCTGTCTTTGTCATTGATATGGCCCCTCACCTAGCGCACTGCCTTAACAATATTAATATAAATGCAATAATATATTCTCTGAACCAAAGATACATTATCTTAGACAAAAATTTTTTTTGCAAGATTACATTCTTCATATTCAAAAGCAGGAATATAGAATTATCAAAACTCCACTGTCAATATCATTTACTAAGTTGACTATAATTTGAAGGTATTACAAGGTATTATGAGATGATAAAAAAAATACAAGAAAAAGTTTTAATAGGAGTGATAAAAAATCTTCACATTATAAAATATTACTATGCCTATATATATTTTACAATGAAATATATTAATTCCATAACAAAAAGGTTAAAATATTTGTTATGACTAGGATAAATCTCAATCTCTCTTGGAGATCTTTAATAAGTACACAAACACTCATCTGTCAGAGGTGATTCTTGTCCCACTTTGCTCAGGGGTGACCTCCAAAGCTTCATCTAGAGGCACACCAGATTTCATCAGGGACATTATTTTAGCTGTTAAGGTAAATGAAATCAGCATGATCATGAGAGCACAGGGAATAGGGAGAGAAGAGTTATATTTTGGAAAACAATCTTTAGGAAATTAGGAAAATAGGGTTTAATTTGGAAATACAAATATCTATACATTAGGTTTTTAATCAAACACTGTTCATGTGAATTATGAAGGAGCCATGAGGGGCAAAGCAACGGCAAGAACAACAACAAAGGAAAGAACACAAAGGGCAAGGAGCGGGTATTTTAATACATTATATTACATTTGAGCAAGATGATTTTCTTCACGCAAACCATTTCACCCATTTTAAACCATTAAGCTATCGGGAAAAAACACTGGGCCGTTTGATGTAATCTTTCTGTATCTCTTTCAGGGAGGAAGGTGACGGTGACACAAAGACAGCTTGATGCTTTCTCCTGTAAGTTCCTAGAAGTGATTGGGTAGCAACTTAACTAGACGTTAACTTTCCCTTTCTTTTGAGTCTCTTTGTCAAAGCCCCTACATTCATTAGAATTTTCTAGGATTGGGCTGGTGAAGAGCAAGAACCCGAGGCTGAATTCAGGAGACATGCTTTCCCTCACCACTCCGTAGTTTGTGATATTGTGCACAATATTTATTTTCGACTCTTCGGTTTTATTACTTGGGACATGGCAACAATAATTTATATGTTATAAGGTTGTCGTGAAGATGAGGCAGGCCCGTGTGTGAAAAGTCCTTTACAAACTGTACAACGCTCCCCAGATGTTAGTTAATATCTCCTTTAAAGGGCACAGATTCTGTTTCAATTGCATAGGAGATTGCAAAAAGCCTCCTTGACACTTTTAGTCAAACTTGATTCTGAGCTTAATCTTGCTGTAAAGCGAAAGGGTTCTTGTGCCCCACACCAGCCCTGGGCAGGGTCACCCACGCTGCCGGTGCTGTCACTGCAATATCCACCCTGAGCTGCTGCTCCCCCTCCATCCTCCCAACGGTCTCCAGCGGAGGGCGGCTGTGTTCCTTGCCAGTTGGGTGGCGCCAGCTGAAGGGCGTGGGCGGGGCGGAGCCGCGGAAAGCCGCTCCAGGGAGAGCGGCGTGGCCTCCCGCGGAGGGCGTGGCCTAGCCTCCCGGGCGTTCTGGGGCGATAGGCGCGCGGAGCTCGCGAGCCGGGAGCGGACGAGCGCGCGGCCCCTGCGCAGTCGGCCGCGGCTTGCGCGCGTCGCCGGCCCAGCTGCATTCTCGCCCCCGCTGCTCCTGAGCCGCGTCTTGCGCGAGCCGCCGCTGAGCAGCTGGAGGACGCGCTGCCCTCAGCTCTCCGCACCGGCGCCCCTTTCCCACCGCAACAGGTCAGGGGAAGGCGGAGGGGGCGAAGGCGTACGACCCCGAGACGGGAGGACGACGGGTCTAGAAGGTGAGCGGAGCCCTGCGTCCCCGGGCTGGGGATCGGTCAGCCTGGCCCCGAACCACAGGCGCTGATTTCTGGGAAGCCCAGGCTCTCCCCCGCCTCGTTGCCGGCTTCCCAGCACGCTGACTCAAGTCGCTGGCCTTCCCACTTTTCCGGTGGGAACCTTCGGGGAGAGCGGGCGAAGGAGACGCGGAGCTCGCACCACCCTTACTTGCAAATGCGAGGCAGGTACCGTTTAGAAAAACCGGGGAGAGGATCACAGGAAGAGACTCATCCTTCTCCCCCGCTCCCACTCCCCAAACTCAGACATCTGCCGGAGTACCCCGCGCCTTGCGGAAAGATGTTCTGTTATGTGAACCTGGTCCCAGGGTTGCGTAATAGAGTCTCCGAAGTTTCTCGCGGTGGGGGTGGGTAAAAGCGGGGCTTTTCTTTCCATCCCGAGTCCCCTTCTTCCCGGCATTGTCACCTCTCTCCCTTGCGTCTGGTAGAGAGAGATTAGTGGTTCCAATCCCATATAAAGTGATTGAGAAGGAGGCGCGTGTCGGTGGTCCGCAGCCTGTAGAGAGGGAGGGGAAAAGTTGGAGGCACCCCTGAGACTTGCTCCTGGGGCGGAGCTAGGCGGCGTCTGCAGAGCGTGGGACTGGTTAATTTCTCTTGATAATTTTCTTCTCGGGTGTGTCTGATACTCTGTGACTGCCGCTTGAGAGCCCTCCAATCTTGAGAGTGCCGAGGTGGGCGAATTAAAAGGAACAGGAATTGGAAGGTCGTATGTACCGTACTTTAATGTAATGTCAGTTAATGAAGCTGCGAGAGGCCTTCGACGGTCTTGGTACTTCGCACTCGGTTTGTCTTCTTGGAGTTTCCACAGCCCCGTAGTGTTATGCAAATTGTGTCTGGAAGACCCTTGGCTTTAGAAGTCGAGGTGTGTCCGAAAGTTCTGCTAGCCTGGCTCTGTTGGGAGGGCGGAAGGGCCTCGCAGACAGTATTTGTGTTGTATTTTAAGGGTGAGATGGGGTGATTTTGACCCCGTTGGTGTACATTGCTTGCGGGGGATATGACATACCATTGAGGAACAAGACAGATTTTAAAACTTTCAAGGCGAAACCGTAAATTAAGGCGAAGACCCAGTGTTCTCCGGGACAGTTGCAAAGTGAGAAGAGCTCAGTAATTGAGGCACAGAAACGTCAGGCGCGAGAGCGACCTGAGAGGTGTGGAGATTTTGCTTATGCAAGATTATTTCAGAGCTAGGTCCTGCAGATCTCGTAGTAGATAGGCAGCGGTGGGATGCCTCTCCTAGACCCACGGGATGTCAGACTCCAGGTGGGAATAGAAGGCACGAAAAAGAAAAAGACCTTTGGACCCAGGAGTCTAGTTCTGCTGAGAGGCATAAGAATACCTAGGCATGGCCCTGTTTCAATGTTTACTTCCTCTGTCTAATGTATTTCCTTAGCTTGCCTTTCATCTTTAGTGAAAAGGATTCCTTGAGTGGATATTCTGGAAATAAATTCACAAGAGAATTGAAAATCCTGGATGGCTTGTGTGCCTTGATTTAAAGGTGGTGTCTCTTGCCAGTGTTGGAAAGATTTTTTTTGTTTTTTGTTTTTTTTGTTTTAAGATAAATATGCAGAAAAGGAATGAAGAAAACTAGCGACTCGAGAGAATGAAGGAAGGGAGACTAGGAGAGAAAGCAAGAGAATAGATAATACTTAAAACTAGATAAACCAATTTGAATTCAACTAATTTAGGAGAGAAGGAATCAAAGAATGGATTTGGGACAGGCTTAGTTTGAAAAAACAAGTTTCGATATTGGGGACTACCCCCTTTTATTTTTCTAAATATAACTTACAGGAATGATGAGACTGGGGATGAAGTACTTGCAGGTATATTGTATATTACTTTGAACTTTTCATTTACCACTTTCAAGAAGAAAATGAACTGTTACATATCAGAGTTAATATCTTATTCATTTACTGTAGCAATTGAATTTCTGTAATGTCTTTGGCGTTTGTCATTTGCTTAGAAATTCTTCAACTTTATGAAAATATAATTTCAAAAAATTAAAATGTGTTAAATTAGAATTCAAAAGTCATCTAGAGACAGAAAATTTATGTCAAGAATAAAGCCCAGGTGATTTTAAACATTGCTTTCTCCTACCAGATGCAGAATATGCATGCATTTTTTGCCACCAGAAGTCACTGTTTCACTGGGGTTACAAGACAGTAAATAGACTACATTAAACTGGCTGCCTCGTTTCCTTTCTGCTTTAACTGAATTTTGTAGGGAGTTGGTTGTACTGAAAGTTACTTTTTTTTATTGACTAAGATACTTGCTTAATTAGGTTTTGGATTAAATTTGGAAAAGCACCATTCAGTTATGATACTTATACATGAGTTGTAATCACTATAACCATGTGATTGTTCAATTGAAGTTGTATTGCCTTGGGAGTTAAAAAGATGGGCAAAAAATAAAAGCTTGGAAAAGGCAAACTTGTTTTCAATATTTTTAAAGAAGTAAGAAGAGTTTCATGCTCAATTCTAATTTGTGCTTTCATCAAACAAATTTACTTAATCCTTTCCGAAGTTAGTTGACAGGTCCAAATCTTGAGACAGATTTATGCTTTCACTTTTTAAAAGGTAGAGCTAATTTACATATAAATATTTGATTATAAGCCATACACAGGGGACAGTGTGCCCTGCAAATGTCTCTTAAGGTATAGTGGCATAGCTAGGATATTCTCCCTATTATCAAAGCTCTACACTGAAAATGGTCCTCCAACTTGAATTTATTCGCTATCTTAGCTATATCTGTTGAAGCTAGAAGCCCAAAGTCCCCCTATTTCAAGATGCTAGACCGTTAACTAATTTTTCAGGTGATTGAGAAAGAATTTTGGAGAGAGTATAAATTAAGGAACTGCATTTACCACAAATATACAAAGTTTTGTAACATTTCCCTCATTAAATTATAAATTCAACAATGGTTTCTCTTGCCGAAAGATATTTAATAGGCTGTGGTTTTCTAGCACTTGCTCTCTTTTGTACACAGTTGTTGCTTATTTAATATTTGTTGAATCTCAGATTTTATTAAAATAGATTATATAAACTCTGTAATCCATTTATTAAAATTCTACCACGGTGCAGAAATAAATGTGAAATATGTAGTTCTTTGCAGGTACACATCCTTCATTCTTGACTGTTTATATGTGCACAGCAGTTTGTTGTAGACTTGAAACCACGAGACCCTAAGGCTATTAGGGTAGCTAATAGCAGTTTCTATCTTCTGCCTTAGGACAGAACTCCTTCACTAATGTTCTCCAGGGGAGGAAAATCAGCTGATTTTCTTAAATTATCTGGCCCATTTTAAACATGACTAAGGATTTCTTGTTAGAGTGACTTTTTCCTATTAAAAGATTGAGATTATTGTGACAAGAGGAGCCCAGAGGAATCCATTAAATCATTAATACCTCATATTCATTTCTAATACCTCATAAGTATTGAGCATCTTCTGTGTGCCGCACAGTACTCTGAGCATTGGAGAAACTGAGAACACCATGATCAAGAAAGAGAAAGAGCCCATGCAGGTGGAGTTTACATTCGTGTAGCACCAAAGCTGTTTACCAACAGCTTTACATGATATATCATTTAAGCCTAATTGTAACTCTGAAGTTGGAGTTCATTTTCCATTTTAAAATCAGGAAATTGAGTTGAAGAAGTGACTTGACTCTGTGACTCAAAGCCTGGTGCCCTTTCTACTATGGTACACTGTGTTGGCTGTGTCGATATGTGGTTTCCTGTTTTTCAAGAATTACAGCTTGACTCTAAAATATAAATAGTATTTCTCCTTGGCTAAGTAATTCTTTCTGATCATTATGGGAATGAAAAAGCAGGTATTTTCATTTAGTATTCTGGACAGATATTTGTGACTCCAAAGGAAAATATTACGCAGACCTATTAAACAGACATGTGGTGTTTATTTGCACCATATGAAGATCCTTACTTTCCTAAAAATTAAATGCAAGGGCTTATGAACCATCTCCCATAGTGCTTGAAATCTATTAGTGAAGTTATGAAATTCAGCTCACAGTCCTATATAAATCGAGATATACCCTTACCATTTCCTTCAATCATGTAGATTTGGTAAATATATGCAGTGTAGAAGTGATTCTCAAACTTATAGTAAGCATCAGAATCTCCTGAAAGGCTTTTTAAAACACAGATGTGTCTCTCTGCCTGTTCCCCACTCCCCTCAAGTTTCTGATTCTATAGGTCTGGAGTAATGCCCAAGAATTAACATGTCCACAGGTGATGTTGATGTTGCTAGATCTGGAACTACACTTTTGAGAACCACTGCAATGTAGCAGAGAATTTAAAAGCATGGTCTGAGCCAGATAGCTTGGACTTGAATCTTGGATATACCACCTACTATCTGTCAGGCCTTAGGCAAATTACTTAACTTCTTATTACGAACTGCGAAGGCTCTGAGAATTTACCCTACTTTAGGACTAACAAAGTTAACCTGCCACAGTTTCATGGACTCCCGGGCATGACTCGATAACTCATTATAATAGCTGTAGCTAAAGTATCAACATTTTCTTACACTCATCCCCTAAGCCCTAGTTTCCAAAGGGAGATATGAAGAGAGTCAGGTGACACCTGAAAACACAGTGGGTTGCATTTTAGGGGGAATCCTGAGTTTAAGGAATCCCAGTCTTTTATAGTGGGCAGTAAGCATGCTTGCCCTTTGCTCCAGAGGGACTCATTATCTTGATGATACTGGACAGTATATATGCTGCCCTTTGCTCCAGAAGAAGACACTATCTCTATTTTCCAAGGCTGATCTCTATGCAAGTATTCTTAAGGATCGTATGGAATAACCGCAGTTGGTGCCTCTGCTTGTACAATGTGCAGAAATGCCATAGACCCATGAAGAATGGCTCCCAACACTTTACCATTCCCTTATAAAATGAGGTTAACAATATAGTCGTATCTCCCTTATTGAGTAGTTCGGTA